CTCTTGATAATTATACTCTTAATGCTTCTACATTAGTGTTGACATAGTAGAACTTGAACATTTACTCTGGAGTTGATATTTTATTTTTTAGATATCATATACTTTTTTAATTAGGTGATGGTTATGTCCTTCATATAGTATTCTTATAGTATAGTTTCTGTGACCGGATAATGTTCGAGAGACTAATTATATGAGTTTCAAGGCGTCTTCATCGCCAATCACGCTTCGTTACGAGCAATATACAATCCTGAAAGCATAGACAATGTTTCCCTATCCCGACAAAAAAATTTACGATGTATGTGAATAGTAAAATTAATTAACGCAATATACAGGGTGATCCAAAAAAAGTTACATACAAAAAATATAAAAAAAAAAAAAAAAAAAATGTAATGTAAAAATGTATAGTGTAAAAATTGTGTACATGAAAATCAATTATTATAGCGCTGTCTTCCTACTTGATCATCCTTAATTACATAATCTGATTTAATATATTCTGTTCGCTCATCCATATATCTTTTATTACATGATTATATAAGTGTTAGCTCCATCGACACCAATACAAGATGATTCAGTTTAAATGAGATTTTCTTTTGAGAAGATGTGAACTTCAACGATGAAAGCATAACACTCACAAGATGCTCAGAATTTATTCGCAACTGTAGGAAGTCATCTAATAAATGCTATACCGAATCCAATCTCAGAGTCAAACGATAGATATGTCACTCTGAAACTCATATTATGAGTCCATAAGCGAGAAAATCCGCATGAAGGTCGCTCGAAATTACAAGGACAGCTGATGACAAAATTTCGAGCGATAATGTCCTGAACTGGGTTACTAATTATATTACATTTTAAGGTATCAAGCGTCAGTTATGAAATTCTATATCCGTGAAATCCCCATATTTGTCATGAAACTTTATAGCCTAGCCATTAGGGTTATAACGTCTATAAAATATACTTTCTCACCATTGGTTTTTTGTAACAGAATTCCGAGTTTATATTATAATTTCAGTTAGTTAGATAAACCGGTAGTGTTTCTCAGCTTTTAACCTAAAGGGGTTTAACGTTGAGTCCCATAGATGGCAATAATTGCCGCAATCTGTATTTGTATAAATATAATTATCTACTGATTATTCTTGTTAGGTCACAGATGGAATTTACTGTGTAAAATAACGTCGGCAAACCTGATATAACATAAATTTAGAAATTAGAGCACCATAACCTCTCGACATCTCTAGGAAGAGATATGTATACGCTTCAAAAATGTTGTCTCCAAAACAGAAGTAAAATAAAAAATATACACTCAAGCCTGCAGGAATTTCAGCGCTCTCATGAGTAGAATAATGGATGATGTATCGCTGGAATCTACCTTTTTACCAAGGATAACCTACATATCATTATTAAATTACACATATGATTTTATAGACTCTCCAATTTTTTTTAAAAAAAGAATTTTTTTTTTTTTTTTTTTTTTTTTTTTTTTTTTTTTTTTTTTTATTATTAAATGCCTTTCTTATTTTCACTAGAGATATATGACTCACTGATGCATTCTTTTTAGGAGAAGAACTGGAACGTCTACATTATCTAACAAGAAAAACCTTTTAAAACATAGAACGAAGTTTCAATCTTCGTGGTCATCACCAGAGACGCAACAATGATGCTTTAAGTATCAATGCACTGGTAATGTCAGTGTTAAGGCGTTTACAATAATTATTCACCATGGTATTTATTTTTGATACGTCCTCGTATAGGTCATGACACAATCATGTGTGGCATATTATCACACATTACATTAAAGGTGGAGCAATGATTTTGCTATTCGCATTTGAATGAATCAGCACTCAAAGTTGAGTGCTTACGAAAATATAAGTACAAAGATTAGCATTATGTAGTATTGAGCTCTCGCACGATGTAATATAACCATATGAAGTTCACTCCTGTGTAGAAGTACGTTACGTAATAGGACTCTTTGGAAGATATGATGATTATTATCAAGGAATTCCTCTTGTATCTTCTATGAATCGAAAAGAAGCTACTTTTCGTCGTATAATTTCATGAATGGCTTATTTTTAATAAAGTGAATCAGAATTTGGTAGCATCTATGCTGTGGAAAATTTTATGTCTGACATGGATGAGTCATTTTTCAATGGCTTCAAAGCAATCTATGCTGTGCCTAAACGACGACTTTATTGCTCCTGGCATGTTGATAGAGCATGGCGTCTACGATTTGTTCAATCAGTAGATTATCTCTCAATAAGAATAAACAGTCAGTACAAATGCAATGTTTATACCAGTTATTACTCTAGGACCTATTGCTTGCAGGTACACTAATTGGCAAATGTTTTTTCTGCAGAATTCACTTACAGAAGCTATATATGCTTTCTGTGAAATGCAATATTTGATGATTATATTAGTAATTTGCAAGTATTCTTCAGCTCATAATTTATGACAAACAATGTAGAATACATGGGCCTTCTGTTATCGTTTGTATGCTGGGGTAAATACTAATATGCATCTAGAGAGAATGCATAGAACTTTAAAAGAAATATAGATTGTAATTCCAAAAGTGTAAAGTTATAGTACCCATATGCTGGTTTATCCTTCATAAATTTGTACGAGATCGATTATTTGACCAATTAATTACACAACATAACGGAGTAATAACGAGAGCTATAACATAGACAAGATTGATGCAATAAGGGCACATCTTAGCTGAGATCTGTGCAACATTCTATTTGTTATAGTGCATACCTTAATTACTAGATGTAGATGCATGTCGATGGGTTGTGTGCAACTAGTCTGTACCATATGTTAAGAACAGAATGAATTTACATTATGTTCATTGATAGATCATAGAATGACAACTATGTGCCTGAGTGAACCACTCCTAATGTAAATGCGTAAGATTAGTATTGTAATCACTTGCGATTGTCCAGTCATTTGTATAGGTGTTTGTTAAATATAGAGCACTAGCCAGACAATGTGAAGAGAGATCTCAGGTACGTGTTATGTCAACGATTATCCATCTACTTTGTAAGCAAAATATATTCTAAAGTTGACAGTTTCGAAGCTATCTTTGGCAACTCACACACGAATGTGCGAAAATGCTCTAGGTTTAGAGAAAATTGTTCTTGCAGAATTAACTCAGATAACGGCTTCAGTACAAGAGAACTTGGATGAAGTAAGAAGAAATTTGTTGGATTCGTTTAAAGAAATTATAGATAATGCAGATGCAGAACAACTTCAATTTTTAACATCTAATTTGAAAACTCTAAAGTCCACAGTAGATATTTTGAAAAAAAAGGACACAGTTTTCTTGGAAAATGATAATAAACTTGAAGAGGACAAACATAGGAAAGAACCCTCTAACAAACAAATGGAGCCTCAACGAAGATTATTTTCAACAAAGAAGAAAACTC